GAGATAGACAATCGTGCAGGACGAGCAATCTCTGACAATGCCCCCTTATGGGTCTATGCTCAACGCGAAAAAAACGAACCTCGTCCTCCGAGCTACTCTCGCCGTGCCAAACGTCGCCTTCTGACGGCAGTAAAAATCCTTTTCTCCGCTTCCCTTCCAGCACCCGTTCTCTCACCTCCCATAGACACCTGCTCCCAGCGATCGGCTTCGCCACAGCTTTTGACCATCTAATTCCGCACCAAAAACGAGTCCTCTGAGCTACTCTCGCCGTGCCAAACGTCGCCTTCTGACGGCCCCCTCAAAGGGGATCACGCAACAGACCTCTTGGATCATTGCTCGCAAGAGCTGTATCAGTTGCGACATCCCCAAGAGCTAGTTACTGATTGCGTTAGACCTTGACTCGCAGGAACAGCAAGGTGGAGGGTCAGCTCACTTGTCAGCAATGTTTTCAACAAACGCATGGGCCCTTTACTGCGTTATCACTTTAGTTAAAAATTGGTGCAGGTACGTTTGCACGAGAACTTGGATGGGTCTTCGTTCGCCCATGCCATCCAAGTGTCTATGGGCCCCCTGCTGGACAGCTGCACAAGTTCGTGGAAAAGCCTAGCATGAATTAGAGGGCATCGAACTCCTTAGTGTGGCCAAAATCCTTAGGAACAGGAATTGACACACACACACACACACGACAGGTTTTGCTGGTTTTTGTGCATGCAGAAACTTACTGTTGTCATGACCTGCTTTCATGTGGAACACCTACTCCATGTTACGTATTGGCGGCTGTAGAATGCAGTTAACGCTTGCTGCGATCATGACCTGCTTCAATCATCAGCGCTAGTTCTGCCAGAAAACACCGCTGGTTCTACGTGCTGCGGGGGGGTGTTTGTGCGAAAATCCCTGGACACGTTTTAGGCCGCCGCACTCTATTTCAAACTTGGGTTGGGAATAACTGTGCTGATCTCAACAGCAATTCTTTTTTGATCCGGTTTGGACAATTTTTGTGACCCTGACAATAACTTTTCTGATTCTTAATCCTCTTCCCAATGCGATCACCCAAGCTGTACAAGTAAAAATTAAGTAGTGACATCGTGGTACGCCTCGGCCACTTGCAAAGTTGTACCCTCAGACCGGGTGCAAAGTTAAAGTGGAACTTTTCTAGTCTGATGAAATGATCCGTTTCCATGGGTGGTGGACCATCAGAGATCACAACCGGTGAGTTGTTGCAGCTGGTGATGAGCCAACACAGACACACCACACCATACATTACCACGCTACATGCCGCTGCGCTAAAGTATCATCGTGTAGCAGATCACAACTTTACACTCACTGCGCAACATTTGACCGCATTGCAACTACCACATTAGTATACACTCCACTGAACTTTCCTTCACTATATACATCATTGTCCCGGACGATATTTCCTGCGCACTTTGCCTTGCTGAGGGCAGAAAGCATCACCAGGTTCAAGGCGGTTTGTTAAAAGTGCAGTCGGATAACCGTTTGGTGTTTTTGAAAGATCCGCCCACCAGCTCTGCCGGAACGCTGCCTCGCACAGAGGGTTGTCCTGTTCACATCTAGTAAGCCCCTATTAGGCCCATGTTTGCAAAGACACGAGTGACCCCACTTGCCAGCATTGATTGCGTTGGCCTGTTTAGAGACTGCACGTTCGGACTTGGCCGTGTTTCAGGTGAATATTCTTGGGTGGGCAGTGTATTGCTGACTTTGTTTCTCAACGTGATGGTGCGCACAGGATGGACCCGACTTTGTGGCTTCCATCTTCTCAAGTGGACCATTGGGTTCCCCTACGCATTTATTTGTGCACCAACAGCGTACAGCAAGCTGCATGACGAGACCAAGATCTATGTAGGTTATTTTCGGTTTCCATGCATTTTGGCCTTGATCTCTGCAAGGGCGATTGTTTACCAAGATCTATCTTTCTCTGGCTCTCAGGCTGCAGCCTACAACCAATCTGCTGCATTGGCCCTACTTTGTATGCTGGTGACGGAATTTCTTGAAGATTACATTGTAGTCCAGCAGATCATACCCATGAGTCCTATTGTCAGAGACTTCATCGACCATGATCTTGAGAGAACGTCTAGACACACAAGCCTGCTCAGCATTGAAATTCATAAGTTACCCTCCGGAGCCTCCAAGGGTGGGTGGCGCCTGGATGAGTTGGATGAGAGTGGTTTTAAAATGGCAAACAAACGGAAAATCCCCTCATCTCCCAAAGACCCTTCTTCTAAGATGTCTTCCATCCTTCCTGAAACGGAAGGGAACATCAGAATCGAGTCCGCAAGTTCAAGGTTATCTCCAAGTCAGAATCATGATGCTAAACAGCGGGTGCCTTGCGCTCCTAGTGAGGCCGATCCGCAACCTCTCGAGGTGCAAAATAGCCCTGATATGCTTGGTCAGCCATCAGTTCTCACTCTGAATCCACAAATGGTTGACTGCGAAGATGGCACAGTGCAGATCTTTCCTTCTTTGGGAAGGCGGAGAGATTCGATGCCATCGCGGCTTCGAAGCTGGCTTGGCCAGAAAAGGGTCGTACAGCACTCGCTCTTACTACATGGATTGCGAGAGATGCCTTGGGACTGTCAGCTCTGTGCCATCGCAAGTATCGCTGAGATGACGGTAGGCTTTTTGAACACAACTCTTGGACCAGGCTATATCCATGGCGTAACCTCAGAGCCCTGCAAGCATTTCGACATGTCAGGAGCCTTTGTGTGGCCATCGCCGTTGGTTTGCTGAACGTCTGAGACCAGTGACAGCTTTTTTCTTTTGTTTCCTGCGCGAAGCCCTGCACAAAGAGCTTGGAGGCGCCCTCCGAATGGAGCTTTGCCACCAACAAGGTCTCGACCTGTAAAAGTACATCCGTCGCAACGAAGTGGCCTGCTCTTCAAACCAAAGTCTAGTGGTCCCTGTTGAGTGGGGTGGGCGAAAGTGCATCAGAACTGAACTTATATATCGACATCGATCTATATATATATATGTACAGAGCCAGAATTTCTAGAGTGTCCAGTACGAGCTTGCAAAGCCACCATGAACCCACTCAGGCGGCCTGGTGAAGAGCTGCCGAGATCAGTCGAAGATGGCGGCCAAGATCGGTGGAGACAGGACGCAGGAAGTCGAAGTGTTCCAGCAGTGCCTCAGCTCTGCTTCAGGGCACGGGACAGCATGAAAACCTTCCTCACTAGACCCAACAAACGACCATCCTTGACCCACTCCTCTGTCAGTCCGACCCCCCAAAAAGGCTTCTTGTCATGGATTTTGCCCGTCTTTTTCCTACGTCAGGATGCATGTTTACATATGTTTACCATTGGATGTTTTGAATGTCTTCCTTTGTGGGTGAATTTGTACTTGTTGACCGATGCTGGCCGTACAGGAAGCATTCTTTAAGCTTTATTGGATTGTGATCGACATTGTGCCTTTCTTGGAGTTACTGGTATCTCGGGCAAAGAAAGAACGGGAAGAGCATAGAAAGAACTCCCATCACTTCTATGCAGTTGAAAGCCATAGTGAGCTGTGTTGTATCTTGTATTTGCCAATTCAGAAAAGCTTCCATTGGTCCAGGCAGCTGTTCTGAGAACGTTTAGCTCAAAAACCCAGGATTTTTCCTTAGTCAACATCAAAGGTTTCATCAAATGGTTTCACCAGCTTGGTTCTTTTGGTGGGCACGGGCTTGGTACCTTTCTTCCTGCCAGGAGCTTGCTCCGTCAAGACCGAAGCCTCAAGAGGCTGTCACAACGAGGTTTAGGTCGTCGGCGAGAAGCTTTAATTGAAGATAATACTTGGACCATCCGTGCCAGCGTCCTTCCTGAGGTAGCTTTGTGTAGATCAGCAGGTTTGGCGTCCGATTGCTGAGGTAGGGCAGCAAGTTGCTGCACATGCACATCTGCAGGTTGAGTTTCTGGTTTTCCTTCAGTTCAGTTGAGATGCATGGAAGTTGCTGCTCAGTTGATGTTTTGGGTGAAGTGACACAGGCTTCAAGATCCCACCTGTGTTGCAGCGACATGGTCCATACCCATGTGGTGTCACATGTGCTGTGAGGCTTGCTTCCAAATGATCAAGACACACTATCTATTGTTCCTAACACGGTCCCTTTGTGTAAGCGCTGAGAGTTGAACGCAGTTCAATGCATTTCAACATCTTTCAACTGATCCGCTGCGGAGTTGGTCTTTCAGGTCGGAGGGAGGACTTCCACGCTTTGCCTTTCTTCTCAGCTTGGGCCAGGGCGCCTGGGCCAGGGCGCAGGGAAGGTCAGAAGTGGTGTTGGGGTGAATGGTCCAGGGCATTTTCAAGGTGAGTAGTGATTCAGAGACTTGTGGGTAGCCACTACTAGGGTTTACAATTCTTTACTCTTGCACGGACGCTCTTGAGCTTGCAGCGGAGCCATGGGCAGCTCGAAACGTCATCAAGGATACAAGACCAGTTGTCGACAGTTGTCATTTCCATCATGTGGTTTGGAGGTGAGCGATGCGGTATTTGACTTGGCGTGAGACAGTTTCTTTCTGTTTGTTCGAAGTGTCGAGCACTTGAAGACTCAACAGTGGGAAGGAACCGTCCTGTCGGTTGACCAATGTTATTTGGAACTTGGAACAGACGAGGACTCAGCCCATAGGATTCAAACACACTTTCTTGTGACATGCAATTGGACATAGTAGCAGTAGCAGCTCTTTTGAACATCATTGGCACTGGACTCTGGACTTCTTTGACGTCAGTTTGCAAGTCAAGAATTGACTGCAAGCATGCTTATATTTGTTTATGGTGACTGGGTTCTTGATCATTTACCACCAAAGCTCTTGCTGAGGTGCTCTGTTTGCCACGGACAATCAAGTTCGGAGGGCCCTTGCTGAGGTTCGCCCCGGATCGCATGTGCACGAGACAGATGGTGTGCTAGGCAAGTAGCAAATAGATTCTTTCAAGAAAGCTTCATGCCGTTGGCTTCTGAGTCTGGGAAGATAGAGAGCCGACTATACCGCCTGCACTCGCCTGCAGCCATTTCCTGTTACAGTCCTTTTCCCCACAGAGTGCTGAGCGTCATGGCATCGGCCGATGGCAATAGCTCAGATGAGTGGGAAGCAGTGGAGACATTACAGTGACCAGTTGAATAGCCTGCGAGAGCTTGTCAAAAAGGCATTGGAGAAGTGCAAGAAGTACGAGAGTCAAAAGGAATTGGTGAGTGCTTGTAAAGAATTGGAGGAAGTCTATGAATGCTGCGACCGCGAGGACAGGCTCATGAAAAAGCCGGGAACAGCACTGGCAAAAGCACGATTGCAAATGCGCTTCGTACGGTGGTGCTGAGAAGTTCTGGCCAACTGCGCCAGTTTGTTTGTCCCGGATTTTCGAAGCGTACTATGATGGTTCGGCTGGTGGTGCAAAAGTCTGGACACGGTACACAGAAGTGCGGTTGCTCAGCCATAGGAGTTCGAAGCACTTCTGGAGAAGCCCCTACAGGTTGGGAATCCAAGCCTCTTGCTGAAGCTGGGCGTGATTCTTGTTGACCTACTTGGCATAGATCAGGAGAACAAGTATATGGAAAAGCTTGATGAATACATGAAATCTCATCCCTCGTCGTCTGTGGTGCTGCTGTATGTCATGGATGTGAAGAACAAGATTCTAAACTGTGATCGGCAGTTCTTTGAGAAGCTGCTGAGGTCTCCATGGATGGAGCTCTCACAGAGACTGTGTCTCTTGGTCAACAAATGCGACCTGGGAGGTAGCGGGAACTGTGCGAACTTGGATGAGGAGGCTAGAGACTATCGCCAGCTCCTCTCTGACATCAAAACAGAAGCCAGCAACTACTGCACTCCCAAGTTCATGGACCTCTCTGTGTCTGACAGAAAGAAGAAGCACCCTGAAGCTTTTGCCAAAGTGGAAAGCAGTGGAGATGGAAGTCCAGCGCGGAGCTCAAAGCCAAGCGCTTGATCCTTGCTGTGAATTCAGTGCAAGATGCAATGAGGACCGTGGAGGCTCTGCTGCTGGATGAAACCAGGCAAGCTGAGTTGACCGAGCTTTTGCAAGAGGAAAAAGATAAAATGCAGAAGTTGGCGGCAAGCAAGGACGACTGGCTGAGCAACCGAGCGAGCGAGATCCGGAAAGTGCTGTGAGAGGAAGGATCAGCATTTTGAAGCACTTCTAGGGGCTGACGTGCCACATTTTAATGAAGAAGCACGAGGGGAGCAACGACGAACAGGTTGACCGAACGCCATTGGAGGTCGCATCAAGTCGATGATAGCCAATGACGTTCAGGAAGTTCGGCACGGTCTTCTGCAGTGCTTCTTGAAGCAGGCCAGACAGTCTCCAAACTGTCGTACGGTGTCCTGGTACAACTTCTTGTAGCAGGGAATGGAGTGCTGCTGGGGATTCAGCCTTTTGTTCTTGGCACTCCTGCAGGCGTGGTGCTTCTCATTATCAGTGGAGTTATCAGTGGCTGCCAGGTGGGCGAGGTGGTGGGTCTTTTGATTAGTCGCTGAGGTGACCAGGTGAGTGAGAAGATCAATGAGAATTATGTGAAAAAGTGCTTTGATGCCATGTATGAAGAGCAGCTAAAGCAGGTTGACGTCTGGGCGGACCCAGAATTCGATTCCAATGTGGCTCAGGGCTATCAAGTCCTTGAGGAGAGGGAAAAGAAATTGACAGAGTTCCAGGTGTCCAGGCTTGATGGCGTGACTGAAACTGGCTTCCTGGAAGATGTTCAAAAGCTTCCTGACGAGTTTCAAGACCTAATCCAGGCGCTCTCCGTGGCAAAGAAGGACATGGATCGTGAGCGGCACCTTGAATAGGATCTGCGGGTTCCGCGCTGGGCCGGGCCAATGCAAGGCCACGGCGGCCACGGCGGGCACGGCGCTGCTCACAGACGAGTAGGAGTCATGAGTACGAGTCGACTCGCACAGCAAGAAGCAGCAATCCATGAGTACGAGAAGAAAGGGCCAGTCCGATTCAAAAGCTTTGCAGCGTTGCAGATGGTTAAATGATGTTAAATGTTAAAATGTTTATGAATTATGAAGATGTGAAGCATCAGGACACATCTGCATTATGACACCGCATTTGAGAGTGCATTCATCCAACGCAACGCCATTCGAACCAAGAACCTTCAACAACTCTTTCGGTTGCAAGGCCTGTGGCGAGCTGGAGGCGACCGCAGTGACATTGCCGTGTTTCTTGCTGGTGGAAACCATTGGTGATGCATCTCAATTTGTTTTGAGATGCATCTCATATAAGGGGTTAGGGTTTCACAAAATCGCGGGGGTTGGGACCCCTATCATCCCATTATCTGACTTGCAGATTCCCAGAGTCGAATCGGTTTCGGGTAGACCGAATCGGACGGTCCGTTTGGCTCATTTCCCCGACTTGGATTGTGGTACCCAAAGGCCCAAACGCGAAGGCGAGGCACCGCTGGGCCTTCCAGTGGAGCGTGTCCGGGCACGCAAGTCTCCACTTCGTTTGTTCCAAGGAAGACCAAGACTTACACCCTGGAAGACGATTCACCCTGGACCCTTAAAACATCTAAAAACCGGTTGGTAGAGGAAAACCATCCAGGGGGCTGAAACGACGCCAGGGTCCAAGTCTCGGGAGTGTAAAACCTGAGGACTTGAGCACTCATATGTCTCCGGCACGCGCGTCGCGGTCAGGCGCTCGAGCACGAGCCGCTGGGCGATCGCTGCGCTGCGTCGAGGCCAAAGACATCCGGTCCATCCGAAGCGGCCCACTGAATCAGATGAGTTTGTATCCGAACTGTTGGGCCAGATGAGTTGGCTTCGTGAGTTTGAGCAGTTCAAAGATGTGATGTCTTGAAACAGGCCGCTATATAGCAGCTGGTCTCGGTGGAGACCAGATGAAATCTTCGCAGATTTGCCAACTCCTGGCCAACCTCTCAGTTTTGGCTCACAGGGCTTCGACTGCGTTGCCCGGTGTGTCACACATGAACCTTCCCCCCGTTGAACTTGAGAATAG